TAATTCCGTGATCCTCCCCCGGCGTCTCCGGAACTTGAGTTGTCTATGAAAATAGGACGTGTTCTTATCTCCTAGTTGCATCCAATCCCTTGAGGCCTTTTGGAGTAGAAGGAGCTCCTCTTGGACTATGACATCATCTAACTCCGTTCTCAGTTGTTGTTCTAAGGTCCGAAGCTTCGTCGAAAAATAGTATTGCTTGCCTCGTTGGATCCCTCCAATACGCGCAAGGAGCCTCTTCTTACGGCTGAAAATGTTACCAAACACCGTGATGTTTCATTCCTTCGCCTTGCGTGTGAACTGGTTAGCCGCTTCTGGAAATGAAAGGTTAGGATGCCATGATTCTTGTAACATAGTGGGAAAATCTGGGTGAAGGAGCCACGATGCCAAGAATCGGAAGGGTTTCACACCTTGTGCTACGAGATTGGGTCGGCCGAAATCAACTAGAATAGGTGCGTGGTCTGATTGGACCCGGGGAAGAAGCCGGACCCGGCTGAACTCGAATTCCTCCATCCACCTTGTATTCGCTACAAACCTATCCAATTTTTCCATCACCCTCCCCGCTTTTCCATTGCGCACCCACGTGTAGGAATGCCCATCCGTAGTGACTTCATGCATACCATAAGAGAAAATCCACTCTACAAATTCTTTACTTACATTACATACACGACGAGCTCCCCCTATCTTTTCAGACGGGCGAAGTAAGCAGTTGAAGTCGCCGCCTACGAGCCAAGGCTCTGATGTGCTCATCGCAATTTTCTCTAGATCAGGCCATAGTCGTCTTCTGCGTGAGGGGTTGGGGCTCGCATAAATAAACGAAATGGCGCAGGCCTCTTTATCTTTACGGGCCCAGACGTGGACTAGCTGTTGAGTGTAGGACAGGACCTCCACAGTCACCTCCTCTCTCCATAAAAGCCAAATTCCACCCGCAAATCCCCGGGCTTCCACTCTAAACGAATTCTTGAAACGGCTATAGCGTACGAAACTATCGGCAGCTGCCCCACTTAAGGATTGCTACAATATTCGGGGAGTGTTGTTGAACTAATATAGAGAAGGCTCCCCGAAAAGCAGGCGAGCCAGCTCCCTGTACATTCCAAGAGACGATTATCATGGGGAAACAAGAATAGAGGGGCGACGGACTTCCGTCAATCGAGTTCTTGGTCCCGGGTACCATTATCCTCCTCACTGCTCATGGGGTGATCAAGCACCTCCAACCCTTCCACGTGGTTTTGTCGCGTCTGTCGCTCCTCCGGCCAAGGATCTTGTAGGCGAACATCATGCTCGCCATCCGTCATAACGTCGTCATTGGTATTGTCGGTCACCGAATCATCATGCATGGTGCTGTTAGGGATGTGGTAGCTAGTTGTCTCGTCAATGATGATGGCTCTGTGTTTTGTCGGATTTAATCCAGCTCCAACTCGGATCGGGCCTGCAGTGTTATGTTTTGGGTCTGTAGTCGAGGTTCCTGTTATTTTCACAACGGGCATTTTAGGCTCAATTGGGTTAGTCTTTAGTTGGGCCGTGGCTGATGACTTTTGGGTGCGTTCCTTAGGCCCATTTTGGAAAACATGGCCTGATATAGGTGTCTTTCCCTTTCTCCTGTTCGCGACTGTACGCCACTCCCTCTCCTCCGCAAAATCTGTGTTCCGATTAGGTAAGGCGCTAGTCACTTCCAAGTTTTTATCTGATTGGGTCCTGAATTCGAAATTTGGTGGTAAGTCTCCTGATTTGTCTCCTTTTCCAAGATATCGAATCTCGAGCCGGATTTGGGGAATATGTGCGGATTTCTAGCAATATTCCTTGTCCCCTTTTCACGTCGTGGATTTTGTTGTCGAACACGTTGCGGGTCCTGTATCCACGGGCCGTACGGCGAGGCGGACCCGTCGTCGGCCGGCAATGTTTTAGTTCCAGAGGTTTCACCGCCTTCTCGCCCATTCGTTGAGTGGTCGCCGTGGTGGGTACCAGCGGTGGCCTCATTCTCTGGTGTTGGCGGGTGATAGAGGCACGAAGAACTGGAGTGACCGAGCCGTCCGCACTGGAAGCAGATGACAGGCATATTTTCGTATATAACCCGTTGTTGTTTCCTGTTGATGGAGAAATTAACACAGAGAGGTTTAGTTATATCCACTACCACTGCTAGTCGCGCGTATTTCCCTCAGGTTCGGGCGGCCGTTTGTTGATCGATTTTAACAACCTTACCCACTATTCAGCCGATGGTACGAAAAACTTTCTGGTGGTAAAGATGGGCGGGCATGGCAGGCAGGCGAATCCAAGCGACTGTAGATGTCACCTCTGCGTTGGTTGCATCAAAGTCTATGGACCATGGCTGGACGTGCATGTAGCCGTTTCCAATTACGTACGGTCCTCCAGTGAGAACTTTCACCGCGTCCTCTCGGATCCCAAATTGAATGAGGTAGAATCCATTTTCCAGATCCATCATATTACATCCAGCCATGAACGGCCACAATTTAGTTAATCGGTTGTACAGCGACGCCATGGAGATGGATTCGTCAAAGGGTTTGATTACCACAACATTTTGCCATTCCTTGCTAATTCGGTCAAAGAATCGTTGAGTAATTTTCACATCCGGTACCTGAGAGGAAAAGTCGACAGAGATTTCCTCTTCCCCTTCCTCAGTCGCTTCTTCAGTCTCTTGATCCATTTCCACATGGGCTCTATGTTTGTTCACCATGTCACGAAAGGTCCAGCGCATAGGGGCCTTTCTCGTGTCAACGTTGTTCTCCACCGGAGGGGTAGATGGTTGTGCCGGTTTCGGGGGACTGTGAGCGACGAGAGCATCACCTTCCCTCTTTCGGGGTTCTCGGACGTTTTGATGTGGGTATGGTGGCTGCCGCCAGAGGTGGAAATTCCGGGTCAATGGTGTTCTCCGGCGGGTCGACCCCGAGGTCGAAAGTCGCCGAGATAGGATTCAGAGCAGCGAGAGAGAGATTGTCAGCGTCCATTATCAATAATAATAAAATTTATTGAATTCCACTGGTTTTATTGATTGAGCTTCATAAAAACAGTTTGTAGTTAATATTTGTTGGCTCGGCTCCACTATGAAGCCAACTGTTGACTTCATAGCAAAACCGCTCGTAACTAAACAACTTCTACTTTCTTGTGGGTAAATTTAGTTTTCTAGTGGTCTAACTAAAGCGAAAAGCAGTTTGTAGTTAATTCAGCTACTTATTACTTTAGGAAAAATTTTAATCATCGTTCCCATATTTTCCTCGTTTTTACCTTGGTCATATTGGTAACCAATTACGGATATCCACAAGTTTGTCAACGCGTGCCAAAAGCCGATGATAATGGATTAGGAAAAACAAAAACTACTTTAACTCAAGGTCAAAAGTTACTGAAAATTCAGGTAATTAAATCAAGAGACAATAAATTTTCACCATAAAAAGGAGGTGTTAATCAAATTAATTTGTAGCATTTATATGAAAAGGCAAACATTTTTAATCATTCTAGTAATTAATCATGTGCATTTGCACAAATATAAATAAAATATTATGAGCATATGCATTGGTTCCATGTTTAAAATTATAGGTTACATAATGCATATCAAATTGAACACTAAAAATGAACAATATAGTTATAAACTATTTTATTTATATATGAATCACTATATATTGACTTTGTGACAGATTAATTACTTGAAAAACTTAAATTATTATTATAATAATTATTTCTGTTATTAAATGATTTTTTATGTCACTAAAAGCAATTAGTTATTTAAAAAAAGCTCTTAATGAAATAAAATATAAAAAACTAACATTCACATTAAAATAAATAGCTTGTATAAAAAGTTTACTATATTTTTTTTTATGAGTGCGTAATTTTAATAATACGTTATTTGAATTTATAATTAATTAATATTAGCCGAAACTATTATATGATGAAAGAGATAAAATAAATTATAACATTTAATTAATGTAAAATGAAACTGATAGTTTCGAAAATTAAACAAAAAAATGAGCGGGAAAAGCATTAATTCAATAGCCTACAATTATAGATATATATATATATATATATATATACATATATATATATATTACAAGGGTACATTAATAAACAATTTACTAAATTGTTCATTAAGGGTAAATGGGGTAATGTACCCCTTGGAGTATATATATATATATATATATATATGAACTCTTAACCCTTGGTGTATCACAAGGGTACATTACCCAATTTACCCTTAATAAACAATTTACTAAATTGTTCATTAAGGGTAAATGGGGTAATGTACCCCTTGGATGTAAACCAAGTGGTACACCAAGGGGTACATGTAGCATTGTCCAAGTTTTTTAACATATGCAGTTGTAGGGAAAATGGAATGTAGAATCAAATTACAATTACTAGACATGACATATATGAAACAACATTAATGTTCACCTACCCAAAATGGACACATGTTTAATATGTCCACCGCTTATGTGACACGCACTCATCAGTGATGTATTTTTTTGAACATATTAATATCACCAATATCTGCATGCCACATAAGCAATGGGCATATTAACGTGTGTCCACGTAAGTAGAGAAGCCCTTTTAAGCCCACAAGTTTATCTCATGTATGAAAGAATATCAAAGCTAGCTAAAGATAAGTGAAACCCTTTTAAACCCACAAGTTTTTGTCTTATATATAGATGATCTTGTTTAATGATATTCAATGGTTTTTGTGGCCATGTTGGGCCTTATCTAGCTACTAGTAGAATGATAACTATCAAAATTATATTAATAATTCCTTGAGAATAACTTTTCAACAAGCTAGCACAACTATAATCACAAACCATATAGATAGTGCCCACTCATTTTCTTTTATTCTCATCTCATGGTACCTATATTCTTTACCATATACACTCACCTCCATCTCCACCAAAAAGGAGTATTAAAAAAAAATAAAAAAAAATAAAATAAAAAAACTAGCTACTATATTAATATGTATAACTTGTATATCTCCTACTCCAAAAACTATTTTCAAGCAATAATTGCAAGAATCAATCCTCCAAAGGCTTCAATTTGATTTGAACTCCATACTTAGGCTTCATGGTGAGGACAACTACCGGCGCGTGCCGGTAATTCTCGGAGATTGTAAAGCTGAATTTTGATATCATCATGGCCAATATAATCTTGGCCTCCATCAGGGCAAAGGATTGGCCCACACAGTTCCTCGGGCCGGCTGCAAAGGGGATGAAACTGCGGCCCGGGCCACTGGACTTGGACGCGAATCTACTTGGATTGAACTCATTTACATCTTTGCCCCATATTTCCTCGTTGTGGTGGATCGCAAGAACCGGAATCCATATCGAGAGCCCCTTTGGGATGTGAAGATCGCCCAACTTTATGTCTTCGAATGCCATCCGAGGGAGGAGAGAGGCCGGAGGGTACAGCCTGAGCGACTCGTTGATCACCATATTTAGCTGCAATACAAAAAAATAATTTGTTATTTTTTTTTTAGCCAAATAATATTGTTTGAAAATTTCATACAATGCTATGATTATTAGTTATTACAAAGTTGTATCAACAATGACATTCACTTTCACTCCCATGCATGTTTAACTTTAATTATGACCCACTTGATCATGATCTACTTATTAATTTTCCACTCACAATTAATGGGCCCAAATTTTTAAAATTCAAGTACATTCACATTTTATCAAAGATGTGTTATATAGTAGTAGTATCTTTTATGTTATCATTACTTATCTTCAATTAGTCATAGGATGTTATTATGATTCAAAACATGAGAATCAAACGCTTTAATAGAAATTAATTCATTAATTAACAGTGGAAAACTGCATATTGAAATTGAAATGTAATAAATATATAATTGTGGAAAATGCTACGGTCCGGTTACGGAACCATTTCGTCAGAGTTTGTAATCGTTAAATCATCATGTAATCGTCGGAGATAATTAATTTAACGGTTACAAATCCCGACAGAATATATAGTTCCGTAACCGGAGCGTAACATCTTATAAAAACAAGTTTTGTTTCTATAACAAGGCAGTAGGAATAAGATATTGCACACAACTTTTCGGTGAAAACGATAGAGAAATCCAGCTCACTCTCTTCAAATTAAGTGCTCAGTCAGTCGTTGATATTAATTAATACTCAATTTATTTAATCGCCAAATAGACCTTTATTTATTTCGGTCATTAAAACAAAAAAGGAGGTGCCTGCGCCGTGTGGACCTCGTTTCCTTGCATTTTCAGGCCCATTATTTTAATTAATTAATTAATTAACCTACGTGATAACTATATTTAAGATTATTTCTCACGTTTCTATAATAATAATAATAATAATAATAATAATAATAATAATAATAATAATAATAATAATAATATATTTGCAGTAAAAAAAAATTTACGTACCACAGTGAACTTGGAGAGGTGGTCAACGCCAGGATGAGCGCCTTTGCAAACTTGTTTGACCTCTTCCCTAACCTTCTCTTGCCACTCTGGATTTGTGGCGAGGAGCATCATGGTCCAGGTCAGCAGGAGGGCGGTGGTCTCGTGGCCGGCGAAGAAGAAGGTCTTGCACTCGTCCATGATCAGCTGCAGGTTCAGGCTGAAGCCATTGTCCGACCGTTTTTTCTGCATCTCGGTTAGAAGGGTGCCGAGCAGGTCGTTTCCGTAAGAAGTGCTTCGGCCGACCTCAACGCAGCTCGTGCGGCTCTCGATGATCTCCATCAGCTTCTTCTCCACCTCGTTTTTGAGTGATTTTATCTCCCGGTTGTATTTGCTCGGGAAAAATCTGAACAAAAAACACATAAATAATTTAATATTAATTATTATTATTATTGTTGTTATTGAATTAATAAACACGAAAACTTCGTACAGTGTGGAATCAGGTAAAGTGAAGAAAATCTTGTCTTTTCATGAAAAAGAGATTGGCCTTTTTTGGCTTGGAATGGGAGAAGAAGATCCACAGAATCCAGTGTGATCATATATATTGGTAAGAAACTAATGAAGAGGTAAGTAAACAAAGTTAAAAATAAAAACAAAATAGTTTTGGAATCCGAACCTGCTGCCGGGGAAGCACAAATAGCGGGAGGATCGAGCACAGAGGCCTTGCAGAACAGTTAGGAGATGGAATATCTGTTTCCCCTTTTCGTAGTTGCTGTCGAATTCCGTGCGCGAAATAATATCGGCAGTTAAACGGGTCATGTACTCCCCGATCTCGATCTCAGTTTCTCCCGATTTCAGTGCATTCTCGAGCGATTCGAGCATTTCTTTTGTGCTTTCCACCATGTACCCTGCATAACTCTGTATCCATTCCCCACAAATAAATAAATAAGAAAATAAATAAATCAATAAATAAATTTAAATTTGATTTAATGCATGCAAAAATATATTTATATTTGTGTAGCTACCTTAAGTTTTTCTCCCATGAATGCAGGGGCCACCAAGTGCCTCTGGTGGTACCAGTCCTTGCCATTAGCCATGAGAAGACCTCGCCCGATGAAATTCTTCGAGCCCTCTTGCTGCATCCATGATTTCCCCGAAATCGTGCTGTATTTAGAAAGTAGCTCTTTTATGAGGTCGGTTTCTGTCAAGCACATTCTCGGCTCCGTCCCATTCCAGAATATAAACCTCTTCCCTAAACATAACAACAATAAACCAAAACAAATGAGCATATATATATCGTGGATAATGATGATGATGATGATGATGATGATGGGTTTTATGTTATTTGAATTTAAGTTGGGTACCGTAAGTCTTTGACCAGGCGAGGAAGTGTGGGAGAAGTCGAGGGACGATATCGTGTGTGATGGAAGGCATGTCTTGGGCTGTCGACTTGGAGATGAACGAAGCCATCTCCATTATGTTGCCTAATAAAAAACGGGGCTCGGGTCCACGAACCCCTTGCTTTTCCATTATTCTCTTGATCCGTCTCGGGATCAACACGTAGCACCGTAGCGTCTCGAAAACGATTTTCAACACCAAACATAAGAGGAATATGGCTGCTGCTGATGCTGCTGCAGATATCACTTGTTCCATTTTTGCTTCTTTCTCTTTTCCTTTTTTTTTTTTTTTTTT